AGAATTACCACAAGGTTTTTATTATATCAGTGATGTCAAACCAACCAAATACGGTTATCAATTGTTTCTTATCAATTTACAAGAAGAGTGTAGTTATATAGTCTGGTCTCCTAGTAAAATGAACGAAGAACTTAATAAAAATGTTGAATATCGCTTTATCGATAAAAATAATGAAGAATATTTTTATTACCATTTAGGCTCATCTAAAGCAATGATTGGCCCCAAGTATTGGTGAGCTGGAGTCAATTTAACTTAATCTCATGACTATCGTTGAATCGATCAGCGTTTACGCATAAAAAATTCCCTCTGTAGTAGCAGTATAGGTATATGAATCCGGCTCCAGTGGAAGTGGTCCAGAACCCCCATTACCTATACTACTCCCCCTTCCACTTCGTGGCGGGGGATAATAACGAGGTCTTGACAAGGCAATGCAAACAATGTGGGGATCACACATCAATAATATAGCCAAGCTAAATGAACTCGACAAGCATATAGCTCATGAGAAAACAAAACTTACACAGGCAGATGATGAATTCAGTAGACGCTGTGTTGCGAAAAGATTGCGTAACTTAGAAAACGAAAGATTAGCCTGCTTGGAAGCAGCTTCCACTAAAAGGAAAGCACTTTGCTCACCTATCAGTCGAATTCTATAAACTATTGATAAGTCCTCAATGATGATACTACACTGGCCAAAAAAATTAAAACAGCGTTCAGAGCATAGGGCATAACCATTACCAGTAATTTAACGGCATTGGGATTTTATTGTTAACCGGAGGCAGTGGTACAGGCCGTGGCAGTCCAACTAGGCCAGATGGTGTAAAAGAGTGGATAAAACAGCATTTAAAGGTATTAGGAGAAGCACTGGGAAAGCTCGCTGGGAAAGCCGCGTCTGCACATTCGGTATAATAGGGAAAATTGTTTCCTGGCTCTTGAATTTATTAGCCAAGACCGCCACTTGGCTTAGTCAAAACTTGTGTCCAGTGATTGTAGCAATTGTCGGGCTGTTCTAGGTATCCGCTAAAGACTATTTATCTAAATCATGAGTTAACCAGCCTTGACTCCAACTATAAGCGCCTTTTTTTCATCGATATGTTGTTGATTGATATGTTGGCGCCAATATGTGGTTTTACAACTTGTGGCTGTTGTACTTCTTACAGTAGATGACTGGGGTTTTACTTTTCCAGTTTCGCCTGTAATTGTTTGCGTTATTTATTCGGTGTTAAGATCTTAATTGAAACCTAATGTTTGTTATCGGTAGCAACCACAATTTTATTATTATAACTTACCACTTGAATAAGTTGCATGTTACTCGGTGACATGTACAGGCCTATCCCAAAAACATAGTTTCCTTTAGGTTCGGCATACTGTATTACATCTTGGTATCGCTTGATAGCCGAAGGTAGGTCAACGGGTGATGAAATAGCATCCCCTACGTTTGCAGTAAACTGCTTTTGAGCATCGAAAGCTGTCCCAGCACCAATGATGTTTGAGCGTGTTTGTGACTGAGCTCCAAGGAGAGCCCATATTAAGTTCTGATTGAGTCATTAATTCTTCCAACGCCAGGGTGAGTAAAACCTTCATTTAAAATGAATTTTTTCCAAGCATTTTCAGCATCTTGTGGTTGCTCAACCCCCACGCTTAAAGTTCATACGATCGTCTCTCCACTCGTTACTCAAGAGAGCAAAGCTCGGAAGAAGTCAACCCCTTTTCTTTAACAGAGTGTGCACCAGCGTACGGAATGCCTAGACCATGGTTAACTCCATGCAGACGCCAATCTTTATTGGCAGAAATAGCAAATTTCCCACAAATATGTTCATATGCCTGCCAATTGTACGGATTATTTGATGCACTCCATGCTTGTTCCTGTGGTAGTGGTGCACTTACTTCTGTAAGGATGCGCCTAATCTGATAATACACGTGAAAGAAGAAAACTTACTTAGTTTGTCGCGATGGTCACTAATAGATACTCCACTGCCTGTTATGGCACACACAAGTTTAGCTGGTTTTGCCAGAACTGCATTGGATTGGGGGACCAATCATGAACTGTTTCAAACGTTCGTTGCTGCGAACCTGTAATTTCTAAAGATATCACATATATATAATGTATTACCCACGGTGGGCCAATATAAGTGCTGCGAGTGGTAATGATAAGTTATATACGGATAAGGCCCTTCACACTATATCTCATGGGTTTAACAGCGTATGCACAATCAATGATAGAATTTTAAGCCTTTGGGAGCTAGTCTCATTCAAAATGAGACGAATGGGGTGCTGATTTTGGTCAGTCTGATTTCAGAGCACATGCTATAAAACTTGACAGGGGCTTAGCAAATATAGATATATAAATTTATAGGAGGAGAAGTGACACCCATCACAAAAGTGCTTGGATTTAAATTACCCTATATAGTTCCCTTTAAAGAGTTATGCATCCATCTTGACCAGATCAGTACAATGGATAATATTCAATTCAAAAGTCATTCAACTCTGCCAAGAGCTATTCCAGTCAAAGATGAAAAATACAATAGTGGTAGAACAGAATCTTTCTCATCATTGAAGTATAAGAAGTTAAGGTGGGGTCTTATTACAGACCTCAAAATTTCTGTATTAGATGTAAAACATCAACCATTAAATATAGGATATTTGAGTGCGACACTCCATATTATAAATAATGGTTCTTCAGGTCCTGGAATGCATAACCTTAGACAATGTAATACATTTGTGCTTTCTGATCTTGGAGACACAGAAGGATTCGACAAACCCTGTATTGAGGGCAAGTTATATGCTTTACACTTACAAGATAATGTATACAAGCAGAAAGAATTTAGCAGATTTAAATGATGTTGATGTTAGTAGACTCAATAAAAACACTTCATACAATCTTTTTCGCGACGATAACAATAAATTGACTAAGTTCGAAACAAAAATCGAATGGCTACTGAATGTCGTCATTGCCCCACCATATACGTGATGACTGATAAGGCACATCATTTAACTAGGATAATGAATAGTGGGATCGTACTCGGGGCATATATCCCCTCAAAACGAAAGAGTGTGATAGTCGCTCCCCTGCCTAGGCTATGTTATTTAGTCATCTATCATTAAAAGATGTTAGGTTAAATTTGGTTACTGAATTCAATGACATTAAAAATACTTTGAATGGTATGCCCGATCTTTCTTCACTTCTTATTGAAGTCTTGTTGGGGGATGCACCAGAAGATGCCCTCGAGATATTACGGGTCTATCAAATAAATGGCTCAAGAAACATGAACGTCAACATTGTAGTTTTATTATTCATACAGGAGGAAGGGCCGTTACACATCTTGGCATCCAAGTTCTTAATAGTGGGAGCATTTCACTTACTAAGATATTTATGCCATATAATAAACACCTAATAAGACTGATGTATACTCTCAAGGAATTGCCAAAAGACCAATTAAAGACTCTTGTATAATAATATATATTATGGGTTTATATACAGCGCTCAAAGAAGCATCTGAAAAGATGGATACTGTTGATGGATTTCGATTACATCAAATAAGTGACATTAAACACCAAATAGAGAAGGAGCTTGAATCTAGACTTGGATTACATAAAACGTATCGCAGAGCTTTGAATGCTCTTGATGGAGTTGACACTGCACTTGTAACAGCTAGTATGGGACTTGGTGCAGCCAGTGTTGGTTTATTATCAACTATAATCGCCGCGCCTATCGTACTCATGGATGTACTTTTCAGTAGAAAAATCACGTTTTTCAAATTTTGCAAAGAAAACCCAAATTGTTTGTCAAAAAAGTCCAAATGTCTCATGGATGATTTTTTTTAAAAGAGGAAAAAACATTTTTTCCAAATTTGTAATCTAAGTCAAAAACAATTTTTTTCTGAAAATGTCAAAAACTTTCAATTGGAAGGGGAGGGGAGAAGGAGGGACCACATGTCATTCTTAAACCATAGCTATCTGTTCTACCATTTAAATAATGTTTTTTTTCTGGCTACAATAAAGTTATAACATTTCTGTTGGTGCAGTGTATATACTAGGCATGTGAAAATAGATACTGTACTGTGTCTAGGTTCATGGTGTAAGACATGTTTTTATTACAACAAGAGTTTGCCACTAACGTGGCTATATCCCCCGCAGAATTTATGACATAATTAAATCTAAACAAACCATAACCTTTTTTAATCGAGGTGGAACTTGTCATGGAAATTGTAAAAAAAAGAAGAGTTTGGAACCTAAGTCCATCTTGCTGCCATGGAAACGTAAATAAATAAAAATTTCTAAAATTTCTAAATAGCAAAAGGCACCAGTTCAGTATGTACCTGACAAACCTGCAAAGTTTGATGAAAAAATATTGAACGATTCCGGAGTTTTGCTCCGGAATCGAACCCTACCCTTACAGAACCTAAGTCCATCTTGTTGCCATGGAAACGTAAAAAAATAACAATTTCGAAAATTTCTTAATAGCAAAAGGCACCAGTTCAGCATGTACTTTAACAGACCTGCAAAGTTTCATGAAAAAATATTGAACGGTTTTTGAGTTATGCTCTGGAAACAAAACGTGACTGACGGACGTACAGACGGACGGAGCCCGTTTCTATATCCCCCGCCGACTTTGTTGGGCGGGGGATAATTACATTTAAGGCCAAGGCATGTCGGCCAGTTACCATTTGCAACTTTCAAACAAATGTCAGACAAAAGCATAGGTGGCCAGTGTCTGTGCAGCAATCTGGCATTAATTTGTTTGTTTGTTTGTTTGTTTTTTAAAACCGCACTCAGCAACATTCAAGCTATATGACAGTAGTCTTGAAATAATCGTGTCTAGAACACACAATCCAGTGATTGACATCATGAGCATCAATCAACTAAGTCAGTGTGCCTGACCACCCGATCCCATTAGTCCCCTCTTACGACAAGCATAGTTGCCTTTTACGTCAAGCATGGGTTCCTGAAGACCTATTCTACCCCGGATCTTCACATGTACTGGCATTAATAGGCTTTTCACATATGATTGGTACTTCATTTTATTCATCAGTTGGCAGATCATGACAGTATCAGTGACAAGTATTTCAAGAACATTCCTAAGTGCTATATGAATATATGCCAGTATTCAAATGATATAACCACAACATGAATAGAACTTCAAAAATACTTTCACACTCAGCAATATTCCAGCCATATCATGGCGGCCCCTAAATAATAAAGTCTCAACCAGACAAGTCATTGATATCAACCAAGTTATCGAACCTGACCATCCAATCCATATGGTCAGCTGTTACGACCAGGATGACCTACACTGACCCGGAATCCCCATCGGGACACAGGTATTAGAAGTGTGTAAAGAAATATTTGAATGATAAACACAAATTTTGTTGAAATCCATTTATATACATTGAGGTCCAGAAACCAATACTGGGCCAGTCTGCGACTGATCATGTGACCAACATAATTATAAAAAATTTCATCTTAACTAGCTTTTATGAGAAAATTTTAAGGAACAACATTTGGCAGATAGCTTTCAATATTTGAATCAATCCAAAAACCAAAAATGCTTACAGGATGCATGGTGTCATGGCTGACAATGTAACAATATGCATGAAGCTCTACCGGTTGAGCAATTTACACTTAACCACTCACTCTAGCAATTAGCATTCTTTTATTTTCTGTTGGTAACTCATATTACATGAGCATAAACATTTACATTCTAGATGCATTTGCACTGTAAAACAGAAGATTTTTAACCAAAAAATGTATTAGGGATCATTAGAGGTATGCTCACATGAACAGTTTTTGCATGATGACAATCATGAAAATGTCAAGGTTGTTGATGAAACAGTCCTTCATACAAATCATAAACGCATGGCTACAAAGTAGAATAATTACACTTATTCATAATTGCCACTTAGGAAAGTGTGTGTAGATCACTTCTTTTTCCCTGTCAGTCCTGCTCCAGCATTAAATTTGAAGTAGATAATGTCCCCATCTTCGACAACATAGTCACGTCCTTTCTGCTTGTATTTTCCAGCAGCCTGAAAACATGAAAAATACCAAAGAAATAAATACAGAAGAACCTTCAGCATCATTGACTCGACATCACTTTTAACATTGTGAATATATTATATGTATTATTATCATGTAAACGAAGTGACTGTAATATCTGTTTCACACTCTCACACTCTATCTCTCTGAAGTTGGCAAAGTCTCCCTAATGTTTCCTGATGGCACTGAAATGCTCTCGGTGGCATGTTGATGCCTCGCATCAAAGTCTTCCATAAATACTTAAATACATGTCATTCTTGAATATATTTCAGGTCTGTAGACTTGTCGTATCGAGGCAGTAATTGATTTGTAATTATGTTTTTCAATGTTTTTAATGTCTCCCTTTAATGTCTCTTAATTGCTTTAGTTGAACTGACATTAACTCTAGGAGTTTTTGAAAGATTAAAAAATGGCAGGGTTGTTTCCGAGGCAAAACATGAAACTTTGTGAACACACCAGTGCCTTTAGCTCTTCAGGATTTTAAAATTGGGATATACTGCATTTCGAAGGCAGCAAGTCGGAAGTTTGGATTCAATTAAGCAATTATTGATTTCTAATTATTTGCGTTTCAAAGACAACACATTGGTTGTATATTACAATGACAGTAAGTAGATAGACTAGGGGAAAATGTCACATTTTCATGTTTGAGTTTTTGCTCTCAATCAGTTCTCTGTACAAGGTTTAAGAAATCCATTGATCCTACTTTTTCGTAAACTATATTAGCAGCCATCTTGGCTGATTTTTTGACCATTTTGAATCATCAAATGTCCTCTTCTTCACAAAGAAAACTTATTCAAAAGAATGGCTTAAGTGGTGAAATGAAGACAACACATATTTAGGACTGTTCTGTTGCACAATTAAATGAGAACAGGATTCACAGACTATTCGTCTGGTTTCAAATATGTCTCTTGTAACTCCCATATAATTTACGTATCATTGTGAAGTGTCAACGTGAAATCAATTTCAAGGAATTTGTGTTCCACTCCAGGGTAAGTTTCTAAGATAACTGTACTCGCCATCACTGATTATTAGTGAAATAAAGACACAATATCACTTACCTTTGTAAACACTTCAGTCAGTTTAATAAGTTAATACATAAATGAGACCGAAAAAGACATTTTACAATTCTAGTTTTACATCATATCTACTACTTATGCTCATTCATTGATAGAACATTTCAGGGGTATAGTACCCAATAATTGGATGCGATGTCTTTTCTTGAACTCTTAAACTTCAGAACATTTTGTGATACCTGTTTAAAATGACCTCATATTTTGCTGAAAGTGCTGACAAAATAATAATGACTGTTGAGTCATATCAAACAATTATATTTCCCTGATAGCTATGATTCTAGTAAAACTCATGTAAAAAGGTAGACATCTGAACAATTTCTTAATTTATTTTCTTATCAAACAAATCAGATGAATGGATTTCTTGAAGTTTACATTAGAGAGAGTTTAAAGGGGCACTGATCTAACGCAATTCCCCGGACTGGTTGTTGCCTTTGTTATTGTTTTTCCCCCGTGAGTACCCAGATGATATGCAAAGCAACTGAGCGTGACACGAGACTGGGCTACCGTCTGCAAGGACAGCTAAATTAACTTGGAGGCTGGAGGCAATATTTGTTTTACGCATTTTTGAACACTGATTGGTCAACTGTGATCTATAAAGATTTCGACAAAGGGCGCATGTTTATTAATTTCTTCAGCCTAAACAAACAGACAAAAGGAACGGCGGAGCTCATCGGATGTCGTCATTTGGAAATACCCCAGATGGTTATAGTTTAATAATAATAAAAAGTATCCATGCAGTGAAAGCATTTTCGGATTTCGGATTGCGTCGATAATACGATTACTACTCCCTTGTTGTCATCAGCGTTTTCTGGTATAACCCTACACGTGTGTATTTGTCGTCATTCACTTGATGCTCAGTTAATGAATTTATTACAGGTACAAATAGTGGTAGCACCACTTAGATTACCTGACAAAGGTTCCCATTTGGCATTTATTATGTCTGGGGTAATTATTCAATCTAAATCCAGGTTTGAAGTGAGGTGAAATGTGTGTTGTGTAATATGCACGTGGCAGCCCAGCAAGAGGTGAATGATCAGTTGATTTCCTTTTTTTGTGAATCAACAGATCGTTCCTAGTCATCAAAGGATTAACAGAAAATACGTTGATTGATTAATCACTGTTATATCGCACAGTGGATATGTCAAAAGTGAGTGTTTACATGTCTAGGTTTACTAAAACGAAGGGAATACACTCATATCATGGCGTGAAGTGCCGATGTAGAAACAACATACTTTGTTCAAAGGGTTAACTGATAATACGTTGATTGATTGCTCATTGTTATCTATCACTTAATGGATTTTTTAGGAACCGTGGACGTTATGAAAATAGTTGTCACGTGGGCTTTCTCAGCCGACCCTTGAGACTTGAAACCTATGTGAAACACCTGAAACAATCTAAGTGATCAGTTGAGAAATGAACATGGTTTATAATATCCCGAAACGATATATATCTTTTAAAATATTTGATTGTTACAGAGACACGTGACATCGAATAGGTTTCTTTGTACAGCTGCAGACGAGTGGGATATTGTTCCTTTGTGTGGATATTCACGGATACATTCCTCGAACAAGGAAGCTGCCTAAAATTTATATACATAAATTTGGTAGGTTGAAGTTATGGTATTTGCATTTTGTTTTCCTTCATTTGCCTTAGCATTGAACTGATTCGTTCTTGTTCCTCTACGTCTTGGTTGGGAAATTCTTCTGCGCGATAGACGTTGTTTTCACAAGTCTTTTCCTTTGTAACCGTCAATTTGTAAAATGTGATTCTCTCAGGCAATTTATAAAATGTGTAAATATTTCAGTCATTTTTACTGAAAAATCTGCCCAGAATGACTAAAATTGATTAAGACGATCAAATGGCCTAAAAACATCACAACAGATTATTATGTAGGATTAGAAGCAAACAACATAGAAATGTACTTTTCAACGTAACATTTTCAGTCTCTTGGTGATGACATTAAACATCAAAACGTTTGGAATTCGTTATCATAATAATACAGATGGAAATGTTTTACAGTCACTTTGTAAAATAACTGAATATTTAGGCGTTTAATAAATTTGAAAATGTTAAACATTTTGACAGTAAAAAAATATACAACCTATAAAAAAAGCAATGCTCGGGTGAAATATTTACTTTGTGTTGCAAGTCAAAATAGTGTAAAGGAAAATCGCAAATTTACCAAGCAAGTGACTTATCAAAACTTCGTCACCATTACCGATGCTACCCACAAAGATACCTACATTTCCTTATTATCTCGAAAACTGTATTTCATTTTATTGATCAATGTAACCATACGCCCTTATTACTACCCATAAAAGTGACTAATGCGCTTACGAATGGCGCAGCAGAGGTCGCGAACTAGTCTAGATTTCTGCTATACATCCGGGTACTCACTGGGAAAAAACAATAACAAAGGCAACAACCAGTCCCGGGGAATTGCTTTAGATCAGTGCCCCTTTAATGAGAACAATAAATCAAACTTGAGCAAACAAGCCAGTATAAGTACAAAAGCCCATCACCACAACTAAATCACAACTTTGCATAAAATAGTACCACAGAACTGTAACAAAGGCAAAAGGGCACATCCAGATGTAAATTCATACGCATGGGCTAATCCCCAAAATGCGATAAGAGCTGTTTGAGAGATTTTTGTGGAATACATGCCATTGCAATAAGAAAAGGGCATGTTAATTATATGTGTTCTGTATGTTGGATTGGGGTCAAAGGTAGTTACTGTTTATGCAAGGGTCACGGTGCTGACAAAAGTTGAAAAAACTGTTCCAGATTATTTATGAAAGGAAGAAGGATTACTGGAATGAGAGAAAGAAATTGGGTAGAATTAATACCAATTAGAGATTAGTTCACATGTAGTTATACATCACAATGGTTTTTGTCAGAGAGTTGAAGGCTTTGGCAAAACAACGTGGTCTACATGGTTATTCTCGAATGAGAAAAGCTGAATAGTTTACCTTACTCGGTTTGGAATAAAAAACCCAGACTGTTAGAGAACTCAAAGCTCAAGCAAGAAACAGTGAGCTGAGAGGTTATTCTCGAATGAAAAAGCTGAATTGATTGCTTTACTGAATGTTGTTGAACCGGTTGTTGAACCCGTTGTTAATAATAATCAACCAGTTGTGTTAAGATTTGTACCCACAGCTGGCGTTGGTAAATATCTAAGAGGATGGAAGATGGATATTAATTCCAACATGGATGTTAATGACCCATCGTATTGAGCAAAATTAAGGCGGAGTTAGATGATTTAAATAGTATAAAATACTAATGTTTAAAATGTCATTGAGTAAAAATAATACAGACGATAGCGCTGAATATACCAAACCTTATTTCAGGGGCAACCAAATCTGGGTCTATAAGCTCATCATTAGATACATCAATTCAGGGGATACAGGAAACTTTAGAACGCTGTACTAATAGAGGTTCGGAATGCATGGGGCTTGGATAGAATTGATACTTTATATTTAGATATAGCAAATCATATGCCTTTGAAAGGTGGATCTTATATAGATTTACCCTCATATCAAAGAAGAAAAAAGCCATAATTAATGTAAAAAATAAAGGCAACGACTGTTTCAGAATGATGATAATAGCTGCATTGTTCCCTGCAGACAAACAACCGGATAGGCCTTCGAGCTATCCCAAAGACGTTGACCCTTACCTTGATGTTATAGATGATTCTACACCTATCTCACAAATTGATAAGGCAGAAAAGCAAAATAATTTAGCTTTAAATGTTTTCGGACATTCTTCAAAGGGAATTGTTGTACACAGGATAAGCACTGCCCAGAACATATTCCCAGAATCAATTCATTTCTGATCGAAAAAGATGGGAAATATCATTATACGTTGATAATGAGTTTAAACAGGCTATTATACTATCAAACAACCCATAAGGAAAA